CCTGATATGCTTACAACACAGCATGTCTTCACCCACGGCTCTACGGTTGGAGTTCCCGTACACACGCAGACGTGCGCACTATCCACTAGGCCAGGAGCGGAAGCGAGAGAAAAACTCACGATGCAAGAAAAGTCCGCTTACGCGGGGATTCGAACCCCTGACCCGACCTCTAGAAGGGTTGGAGGATACCAGCCAGACCACCGGGGCGACCGGCGCCTATTGTTTCCTGATATGCATACAACACAGCATGTCTTCAGCCATGGCTCCACGGTTGGAGTTCCCGTACGCACGCAGATGTACGCACTATCCACTAGGCCAGGAGCGGAAGCGAGAGAAAAACTCACGATGCAAGAAAAGTCCGCTTACGCGGGGATTCGAACCCCTGACCCGACCTCTAGAAGGGTTGGAGGATACCAGCCAGACCACCGGGGCGACCGGCGCCTATTGTTTCCTGATATGCATACAACACAGCATGTCTTCAGCCATGGCTCCACGGTTGGAGTTCCCGTACGCACGCAGATGTACGCACTATCCACTAGGCCAGGAGCGGAAGCGAGAGAAAAACTCACGATGCAAGAAAAGTCCGCTTACGCGGGGATTCGAACCCCTGACCCGACCTCTAGAAGGGTTGGAGGATACCAGCCAGACCACCGGGGCGACCGGCGCCTATTGTTTCCTGATATGCATACAACACAGCATGTCTTCACCCATGGCTCTACGGTTGGAATTCCCGCACACACGCAGACGTACGTCCTTGCGCACACGCTCTCGCGTGGTCTAATAGGACACGAGCCTGCAATGTGCACATCAGGAAAACAAACAAAATGCTCTATTTAGTCTCCTCCTCCCTTGGCGTTGTTGTTGTTTTCTTCACATTAAACTCGTGTCAGTTGCCAATGGCGTAGAGCCTGATATATATATTTTTTTAATTTCATCCGTATGGGGCTTTTTTGAGAGAGCACCACTACTTTTGTGCCAATGCCAACCCGCAGGTCCGGCGTTTGTTGCGACTGAGTTCTGCTACCACAAGAAGCAGAGAGCGGTTATCCAATCGGTTTGTGTTCAGAAAATGTATGTGGAACCACACTATCACGAAAAGGCTTTCTTGCAACAGCCGCCCCAAGCCTAGACTGCAGCAGTACAGAGTTCGGCACCCATCTGAGTACTGCGTTCTTATCGTCGTTTTGAGTCCCAAAAGAGGGTTGCTTTGATTGATACGGGCAGAACGAGCGCCCTTGAAGCGAGAGGCAGGCCTCAGGGGTGATTGAATTGTCTCGAAGGCAACAAACGATGTTGACGGCAAGGGTTCTCACTGAAGAGTGAAAACGACGCCTACGTCCTAGAGAGGTCGAAATGAAAAAGCAACAGTGGTGCCGTAATTGGAAAGTTCAAAAATAATGTTTTTTTAATATTTTTCTTTATTTGAATTTACCATACCCCCCCCCCCCCCCCCCCCCCCCCCCCCCCCCCCCCCCCCCCCCCCCCC